ACCCTTCTTCAGAAATCTGAAGAAGGGTCTAGGCCCGAAACGTCAGCCTTCCTGCTCCTCTGATGCTGCTTGGCCTGCTGTGTTCATCCAGCTCTACACCTGGTTATCTCAGATTCTCCAGCATCTGCAGTTCCTACTATCTCTTAACAAGGGCATTGTAACTTTTCTGGCTCCTCCATGGTTTTGTTCTGTATCTTGTATTGGACAGTAGGTAACCATCTTAAAATAGGACCAGGATTTTCTAACTCTTAGCTAGGAAGCTCTTTCAATAACCAGTCTGCTGTTTTCTGAATTACTTTAAGGAAATAATATCTAGTCATATGAATATTTTTTTAAAAACTGGGCTATTAATATTACAGTTTTGACACAGCTGCAATCTGCTCTGTCGACCTTTCAAGGACAAATAATAGTGCAGAAAATTTGTAAAATTACCACAATAGTTGTACTGTCATGACCACAGGTCCAGAACCCCAAAGTACTTTAAGCATCTTGAGTTTGTAAATCCAAAATGTGATTTTTAAGAGTGCTAATACAGGCAAAAATGGCTGCAGATTTAAATGGAGTGGCTGTGTAGAGAGAGACCCACAGAATGTCAAAACTAGAGATACAAAAGTAACTTCAAACAACATTCCTTTAAAAGTGAAAGAGACAAGTCAAAACAGACTGGACTATGATCTCTTGTGACTACAAAGATAACAAGGGACTGACAACCCTATATGGTAAATGAACCCTCTCACTCAGAGTGCTAGCAGCCAGCTAGTTAGTAAGCCAGATAAAAGGAAACAAGACAACCAAAGGATTCTTCTTGCTCTGAAAGCTGGGGTTCAGTTATGGTTGAAAGTAATCAAAATAACAGAATCTCAACCAATCTGAAAAGCTAAGAATCTTGAAACTGACTGTTCAGGTCAGGGTCAACACTACCCAATGACCTCTGCTGCAACGGCCGCAATGTTCAACTTTCTGCTCTTCACAGACAATTTGTATATGGTTTTCTAAACTTGTATCTTCTTGGGCTTGCCTCTTATTTTTAATCTATTTGCACGTGTGTTGTGTTACTAATTATTCTTCTGTTTAGTAATTAATAAACTTGTTAACTCAAGAAAGTCCAGTTAAATTAGCTGCTTTTAAAATGTAAGCTAATTTGGGTCTAGGAGAAAAGTGTGCACAAGGGAAAGAATCTATAAATTTAAATTAACCTTGCTGCAACCAAGTGATGGAACAGACGAATAAAGGTGGCGAGCCAGGTCATCCCTCCTTTCCCAGGAGCTTAACAATTTGGGGTACTCCGTCTAGAATCATAACAAATTGGAGAACCCTGCTCAGGGTCTGAGCATAACAACAGGACTGAATCAGAAGAGCAGAAGTTAAAACCTGGCTGGGGAGAGGCAGCAAAGACAGTGCCTCTTATGTGAGATGTCTCCCCTTGAGGTAAAAGGGAGGCTGGACCAGAAGACAATAAGGAGTTCCCTTTCCCTATAGTGGGTAAGTTCTGTAAACTTAAGGGTCAAGTTATTTGTACTGAAGTTGACAGTTATGAGGGTCTGTCTTTTATTCTCTGCCCTACAAGTTGAGAAAGGGAGTGTAGAATTGACAACTGGTGAAGAAAATAAATCTTTGTATTTCTAACCTCATTAGTTACATCTGTGAATCTAGAGGTAAGGGATCTACTGTTAATATGTGCTCTGTTGGTGTTTCATTTTGTGCATTGGTGTTTTATTTACAGGACATGCTGATGGTGGGCAGTCTGGATCATCACCATGTCTTACGGCTCCTCGGAATCTGCCCTGGGGAACCACTCCAGGTAGTCACACAGCTCCTGCCACTTGGCTCTCTGCTTGAATACCTCCACAAAAACAAGGGTAACATCCAATCTCATCTGCTTCTCAACTGGTGTGTTCAGATTGCCAAGGTCAGTGAGACTTCAAATTATTTGTTTACACAAAAATCCCATGATTAGCAAAGGAGGAGCATAATAGAATCTGTACATCCTTGGTGTACATCAATTGCCTAGTGGTGAACTTTGCTAATGATGGACTCATGGGCTAATGATTAAACACCAACTGCTTATGTCCCTATTAAACCAACTGAACTTGTTACCACAGGGTATGAGATACCTGGAGGAGAAGAAGATGGTACATCGGAATTTGGCTGCCAGAAATGTATTGGTAAAATCCCCCAGCCATGTTCAAATCACAGACTTTGGCATCACCAACCTCTTGGCATTAGATGAGAAAAAGTATTTCTTCGATGAAGTGAAGGTTAGTCATGTTGGTTAAGTGATTAATTTCTCGTAGAAAATAGTAACTTATTCCTTAATCACTTCTTTCTGTTTAAATGTTATTTTTGCTATGCCAGTGTTATGATGCAGGGAAAATATTTTCATTGATTTATTATTGATATCTAAAAACAAAAATTCTTCCTATGCTCTTCTTGTAATTGTGAAAACTCTCCAATAGCTTGCTGAGCGTACTGAATGAGTAACTTAGGCATACAGTCTGGGAAAGTCCCAGGTTTTGTCCCTAGTTTCTGCAAAGTTGGTTGTAGGTAGGACTGGGCTACATATAATATCAACCACAATCAAATGACACTAAATTTCACAACATAATTATCGTTCAGGAAGGCCATTCAGTCCATCTTAATATATCCATCCAAAAATGTTCAAATCTACCCAGAAGGAAAGTTCATGTCAATAATGGGCAGTTGGTGACCAAGGAATTTTACACCAAATGAGACAGTGCTTCAGGAGATGGGAGAAAACTGGAAAAATAAAATGAGATATTAAGTAGATGTGGAGTTTGTTCTTCAGGAAGAGCTACCTAAATAAAGAACAGTAGCAGGAGGGCCTTGTGAGCCTGTTCTCCTATTCAGTAAGATCACGGCTGACCTACCTCATTGTAGGAAAGGTGCAGCTATCTCTATTTCCAGTAATTCCTTCAGAGTACAAAATTCTATCGATCTCAGTCTTGACCGTGTTCCCTCTCCTGTCAAGTACAAACAGGAAGTCTGAACTGATTATCCTCTCACCTTTAAAGACTGGTCTCAGTACTCTAACTTCAGCAGAGATATAGAAAAATGGATTTTTTTTAAAAAAGGGCCTGCACAAGATACGGCACCTTGTTCTGGATGGTGTGTGCCATTTTGTACCATAGGTATTGCGCAAATAGTATTGAGTGAAGAGCACATTGTTCATTATCTTTCAATTGAGCTTTAAATCAAGGTCCTGTCAGCCTGTTCCATTGCATTACATGGATGTTGAAGATCCCATGCCATTATTCAGTGAAGACCAGTGAACTCCCCAGATGTCCTGGTCAACATGCTTCTTTCACTGATTACCACCAAAAATTGATTTAACAGGTCATTTATGCCATTGCTCTTATAGGACCTTGCTGTGCGCAAATTAGCTGCTCCATTTATCTACAGAGCAACAGTGACTGCACTTCAAATTACTTCACGGTAGATACTGCACTTTGGGGCAGATCTGAGAGACATGCTAATGCGCTATTTAAATGCAAGGCTTTCTTTTTGTCTGAATGTGCTGCAGTTCTCCAGTACCCATTTCCTAATGGGTTCTGGGGTTTGATCAACATTACATGTTTAAATGTTGTGTGTAAAGAGTGATACTTCCACACAAACTCATTTCATTGATTTAGAAGAGAATTTCACTGGAAACAACTTGTACATTGAGAAACAATTTTTTGCGCAATCTAGAGCTGCCAAGTCCGCTTTTGCGCAAAATGAGCTTTGCTGAGATACATTCAGAGTAAACCTAATAATGGTGGCTAACATTAAATTTGTATTCTATTAAGTATACTAACTTGATATTGTAAATCAATTTTTCACTAAAAGATACTTTTTATCATTAAAACTGGCTCCTAAATCTTATAGGCAGAATCATAGATACATATTTTGTCATCAGGTTAGGGGTACTAGTACACAGAGCTAGCTGATGTGAACTACAGAAGCGCAAATGCATATTCAACAGACCACTGAATCAGGCATATACATGTTTTTAATCACCAAAATTGAGTTGCTACTTTGTTTTAGATCTAAAGGATATCAGGAGTCAAAAAGTAGCGTGATCTGGATCACATAACAATCACTGCGATCAGAGGCAACAGTGTCAACTTATGACCATCAAGCTGATACGAGATCTTAAAGCTTCCAATATTTTTAATGGTATAGAGAGATTCATTGTGAGCATCAAATTTTTAGTATCTGTGATTAGGATTTTCTTTTAAGCAAACCAACTTATGCAACTTTATCCTGTTACAAGACAAAATACCAGGTGACTTGCTTGCAATTAAACTCAGATTTGTTTCATATATAGTTTTTTTAAAAAAGCTCCTTCATGGAGGAGCTTCAAGTGCTGGGAGTGCACAGCAGGAATTTGGGATTTCACTCGATTCAAGTGTCCATGATTTTCTGCCCATTTTATTTGATTAAAATCTCAGGGAAACATGAATGAGGCATGCATCCAAATTCCTGACATGTGCTCCAGGCATGTGAATCTCTGCACATGGAGCCACAAAGGCAAGAATTTGCCCTATCTTTTGAAAATTGCCCAAGCTGTTGTGCTTTGTTGTTGAGTATGTCTGTCTGTTGCCTGCTGTAGATGCCCATTAAATGGATGGCACTAGAGAGCATTCACTTTAGAAGATACACCCACCAAAGTGATGTGTGGAGTTACGGTGAGTCATATACTTATGGAAGCATTATTTTGTACTTGAAAGCTAAAGTGCTGCAGTTTTAAACCGAACATTTTCAATAGCTTATCATTCTGATCCAAAATACAACTTAACTACTGTAGTAATACAAGAATCCATTAATGGTGTCTGGGTCAGGGAAGATCTTTGTTCTGCTGTTGGAGATGCTGAATTTAGATTCTGGGAACAGCAATAAAGTCCCAATTAATTCATTAGAATTTCTTCATTTTGTAGCTCATGACAGGAGCTACAATGGGAATGTGGTTTACCTGGACTTTAATAAAGTTGATAATAAAGTGTTCCATGGAAAACAATTTGAGATCAAACCATGGCTGGCCTATAGGAGACAAATGGACTTGTATAAATAACAAGTTTTGTGTATGGTGTGAGAGCTGAGGTCCTGTGGGGACCAGTTTTGGGATTGGTAGTTTCAACATTTCCACACATATCAGAAAGTGTATTGGTAGCTTCACCTCAGGTTGTGGATGAACAGCAGAATAGTAGGGGTGGTTAATATCTGAAAAGGGGAGACAATTCACAGGAGGACTTAAGACTGTTTGCAGTGGTGGGCCAATAATTGGCAGATCAGGAAGTGTGAAGTTGTGCACTAATGGATATAAATTAGTGCAGGGAAGCTAGGAATAATGAGCAAATGCTGATAAGAATGAATCAAGAAAGGGATCTGGGAATCATCCATGGTAAATCCTCCAAGCTACCAAGTCAGTGTCTGACTGCTGTTAAGGAAGTGAGTGGCACATTGGCTTGGATAATAGGAGGAATGGCATTTATGTTGCCATTGTGCTCTCTCAGTAACAGGGAACATTCCCAACTTAATTGCCTAGTACAGTACCAAGTGATGTAATTGGCTATCAACTACAGCTTCAAAAATGGTGCCAGGTGCTAGGCTTACATCGTTGACATATCTGGTTGATATGTCTTTTGTACTTGATGTTGAGATTCTCAAATGGTTTATTCTTAATATCAGTATTCAGGAGGAGAAACTAGGTGTTTCCCATGGGTAAGTACTAACAAAAACTGGAAGTCCAGTTATCTGGAGCATACTTGTTCACTTTCTGGAATCTAACCAGACAAGTACAGGCAAGAGGCCAGAAACAGGTCAACAACTCGTATTGTACAAGATATGTGGGTGAAGAGGAATAAGGCTGGGAATTACAGTTGCCATTAAATAAAACACCTGGGTTGTTGGAGTATTACTGATCAGTACGTTAGTGAGTATTGTTTAGGACTTGCCATCAGCTTCCTCAAGTACATGACAGGAGGTCAAGGATAAATTATACAGTAGGGCCCAACAACTTTATTCCATTCACCACTGGCCTGAAAGCAGCAATATGATGGGCTATTCTTATTCTACCAGTCTGCTGGCTTTCCCAGAGAATGCAGCATCATCAGTGCTACCAGTCTTATCATTCAGGTCCCTATGCCATAATGGTGTGCTGTTTAAGAAAAGAAAATCCTACCACTTCATTATACGCAACATTGTCATGCAGATCTATGCTTCCTTCCTGAGACGTAGTCTTGTCCCTTCATTCAATTACAATCATCCACACAACCTTACTTGAAGGGAAAACGGCAAAGGAAGGATGGTTCTTGGAGTACAGCATTGTACCACTTCGATGCAAAAGCAACAATCGGTACAAAAATTCCTTTGATACAATCAGAATCATCTTTGGAAAAATCACAAGGATCTTAAAGCAGGGCTTCACAGGCTTTGACTGATATGTGACTTTACAGTACTGCCCTCTCCTACCTGGGGTTTTATGAACAAGTGTTGGTTGGTGATCTGTTCCTTTACTTATGCCTGCAAAAAGAACTTGCTATGCAGATTGAAGAATAACATGGTAAAGCCATAGAACAGCACAAGTAGAAGCATGCAAATGACAATAAATTTGATATCAACCCATCAATGCAGCGAGCAAAATTTGTACTTTTGATGCTAACTTAGGATGGATTCAAGCGTGCGTAATTTCTTAAAGTTGAGGTCTGTGCTTGAAAAGCAATTGTGTCCAAACCACCTTCTTTAATATTTTCCTGCACAATTCCTCATATATTCCCATCTGTTGCTGGGCTTTTGTCATCATTCTAAAGAAATTGCAAATAAATGTATAAGCACAATGTTCCAATCCATTGTTGTGCATTTATTTCACCGTTGTGTGATGTGTGAATGTGATTGACCGCTGTACTTGCACTTTGTTTCTGAAGTAGTTGAATCTACTACTCCTAAGTGATTCCATATAGAAGAAGTAAATGTGCTGACTAACTATACATGTCTTGTGACCTTCTTGCGCTATATACCAAGAGGGCTCTATATCTGATTCTCCCAAGCCTAGTCCTGTTGTGACTGACTTGTCCAGCCTATTTTCTGATACCTTTACTGTCCATTATGATTAATTAGATGGATATGCCCCCAGGTTGAGACCTTGCTGCTATCCTCTAGAATCTATAGCTCAGCTTCAGCTTGCCAAAAATAGTGGTCATATTGTGAGGTGTCGGCTTGCTCGGGTATACCGGCTGTGGCTACCATCTCGTTGCCTCAAGAATATATACACGTGAACAAAAATACCACAACACAGCCTGCAATAATCATCTTTAAACACATCTTTCAGCGAAATATGATGCTACTGCAGTTGTGTGTGACAGTTGCTCAGTAGAACATTCCAGGACGAGAGTGTTATGGTGGTGGTAATGAATTGATGGATTAAACCCGCCTTTACCATCCCCCACTTCCTCGATACTACCCTTTACCCCACACAATTAATTCCAAGGTAGCCTCTTTGGAATCAAAAGCTTAAGTTGCTTAGGACCACCAAGTAGGCATGGATGTGCTCTCTCCGGTTATAGTTTTCCTGTCCTGCAAGAAGATCAATACTAAAGATAGTAATAGTACATGGTGATGGAAAGAACAGTGATACAGGGCAGTTTAGGGGCACACTGCATGCTACAAATTTCTGATATGTGAAATATCATTAAGAATTGTTGCCGTGCATATAGGTCCCCTTATAAAATCCCTAAATGTAAATGTAACATACATCCTCAGTGTTCCCATTCAAACAAAGCATTTCTTGCCAGGGTTTATTGTGATGGGACAGTACTGAAACAATCAAATCCAATTACTTAGCATCATCCAATATTCAAGGATAAGACTGTTAGCAGAGATGACGTCTCGTGCTCGGGCCTCGTCCTGATCATGTAATGACTTGCTGTAGTACATTTCTTATGTTCTGACATCTTTTTGCTGATCTCTTTCCAGTTCTTGTGGGCTTCAATTGCTGCATTGACACTTTTTTCCACCTTCCACCATGTCTGTGATACTGAGGACAAATGGGGGGAATGACCATCAGTCCTTTTCAATGCTTCCTCTCCTTGCCTCTTTCCATTTGGGTTTCCTAATTGTAAAAGCTGGTTTTTCTCACACTGTGGCCCTCAATGCCTCAGCATCATTGCTCTACTGACAATTGTCCTGACCGCTCCAGGGCAATCCCACTGTTTGAATGGCTTCTAATTGGAGTTTACAGTCAGTTAACAAGGATTATCGCTTCTTCTGTGACATTGGCTGACCCATTGTGCAGGCATCAAGGCACATGTTTTAGTGCATCTACCAAAATTAGGAAACTCCCACGTAAAGCAACTTTGTTTGAAACCCTCAACAGCCTAAAGTAATTAAAAGCAAAATGTTTCAATTACAAGTCAAAGATATCCTCTAATCAACCTGTTCAAAGACGTTATGACACGTCTCTGAAGCAGGTGGGACTTGAATCTAGGCCTCCTGGCTCAGAGGTAGAGACACTACCACTGCACCACAAAAGCCCTTATCAAAGCAATTTCTAAGCTTCAGAGATAGCAGGAACTACAGATGCTGGAGAATCTGAGATAACAAGGTGTAGAGCTGGATGAACACAGCAGGCCAAGCAGCATCAGAGGAGCAGTAAAGCTGACGTTTCGGGCCTAGACCCTTCTTCAGAAATTTCTAAGCTTGTACGTCCAGCTTTGCGCACATTGCTCTGAAAGCAACCTTGAGCTCCATTGCCTACACTTTTGCAACAAATAGGAGGTTACTAATTTTTTTTAAACAATCTTTTAGCTGATTTTTAGCACTGAGTTCCCAACTTTAAAATACAATGTGCTGTTCACAGGCGTCACTGTTTGGGAGTTGATGACATTTGGTAATAAACCATATGAAGGAATTGCTGTTCGTGAAATCCCTGGTCTCTTGGAGAAAGGTGAACGCCTGCCGCAGCCTCAGATCTGTACCGTTGATGTGTATATGGTCATGGTGAAATGTAAGTATGCTATTAAAGAGAGCTTCAAATGCAACTTGGGACGATAGATTATGGAACATTACTGTATATTTAGTTGCCGGAGAGTGAAGGCGGGAGAATTGGATATGAATAAGAGACAACCCTTGTTCAGTGCAGTGGCATTTAGGTAGTTCGATTCCCACTGATCTCCCTGTTGCTAATAAAATCCAATGAAGTATTCTGACCCTTTTGGAATATGATACAAATTGTTCGAAAGTAAAAATAATACTGTAATTCAAGTAATAATTTTAATCCAGATTACTCATCTGCTTCCAGATTTATTTCTCAAAGAAGGCAAATCATCCAATTACTCTATTTGAATTTTCACACTCCTCTTATATTGCCTTAAGCGTCAGACTAGATGTCAGGAACCCAACATTATTCCTGATGTCCAGCTTCACCAAGGTGTTACTGATGGGAACTATGTTAAAATGACATACCTCTACACAGCAATCATTTGTACAAGCCCATCCAAATATGGGTGGGTATTTTCAATGTCACCCATTAATTCCCACAAAATCACAGAAATGGCAGAAAATTCTAATTCTCTCTGTCAGGTTTCCTGTAATCCTCCATCCAGAATCTCTCCAAAATTGGGAGTGAAAAGTAGAGGATATGGAATTAAGTTTTCTCACATCCTGAAAGCAAGTTTAAAAGATCCAGTCTCACAGCCAACAAACATCATGCTGGGAGAGACAGAATTGAAATCAGTTCATTTTTATTCAGAAATGACATTGTAATGGAGTGGAGAGGATAAAATTAATGGATTTTTTTTTTGAAAAGGGAAGACGCCATGGAATACAATGTCACATTGTCATGCTTACTAAATGAGACTATATCAGAGTATTTTGAGCCAAAGCTTTTAGATTATGAAATGTGTTGAGGTTGCAAAGAGTACATCATAGTTGAATCTTAAACAAATAATATATTCATTTGGCTAAGCTTTTCAGTTGAAAAGACATTCACATTCAAACAGGAACAATAAAATTAAACCTTCCTGAACAAATTATGAAATTGGCTTCAGTAGAAGCTGCTATATTCCATCTGGGTTGTAATTGGACAGACATGTGACAATAAATAAATCAAAAGTGGCAGACTAGCTCAATATAAAGAGAAGTCATGACCCGTCCATTCTCACATCAACAGCCATGATGGAAAACTTGACATAGATTTAGACAGATAGGCCTTTAAGCCCAAATAAAACTTCATCCTGTCTCATTAAAACACTGCTTCTGAGTGTTGTTTGTCTTGCTTTCTCCTTGGATCCGAGTGTTTCAGACATCTACATTTCAGGTTGTTCCTTAATTAGTCATAAGGGAGAATTCATTTTCTGGGGTCTGCTTTTCTTTCTGTTTCAATTTCAATAAAGAAACAGACTAAACATGATTTTAATATTTTTTCCTCAATCAGGCTGGATGATCGATGAGGACAGTCGCCCAACATTCAAAGAGCTTGGTGCAGAATTTTCCCGGATGGCTCGCGATCCGGCTAGATACTTAGTTATTGAGGTTTGTACCTGTTAAGTCTCTTGAGAATGTTGGAACAAAGTCCATATCATTCTGAAATTAAACTAGTGCTGTATTTGAGAAGGTCTGAAAACAGCATTATTTCATAGAGTCACATAGAATGTACAGCACATTCCTGTGTTTATGTTCCAGTTGAGCCTCCTACCTGGGTCTTCATTTATCAACATAACTATATATTCCCTTCTCCTTCAGTGTATCTAACCTCCTCTTACATGCATCCACATTATTTGCTTCATCCACTCCTTGTGGTAGTAAAATCCAATTTCTAATGACTCTTCTAATAGAGACAGTGAAGTTTGAATTTCTGACGGCCCCTGGGTTTGCCCTTCCCCACACGTGGAAACAGTCTCCCAGTGGTTACTCGGTCAAAAACTTTCATAATTTTAAAGATGTTCCATTAAGGCACTCCTCAGCCTTTTCTATTCAAGAGAAAATAAACCCATCCTTTTTGTTACCTCATTTGATTCTGATCAATCAATGTTTAAATCCTATAATTATATTTGGGTTAAACGTACCAGATCCTGGCTCTCGCTATAGCTAAGCAGGTTTACACATTGAACTGATCAACCCACACCTTTTAAAAGTTTGATCTCAGCTGTACGACCTGATCTTGACTAATGAGATATTAGGGGACTTCAGTACTCCTGAATCAAAGAGAGTTTTATCAACTGGGGTTACTACTTGGCATCCTGCTTTGGGAAATCATCTCTTATGGCAGTTATGGACAAACTCTTGGAATCCATACCACAAAATCAACATTTAGAGATGCACAAGATAAATAAATAGTCAGCATTGATTTGTCAAACGCACATGCCATTTATCAAAATTAGTTAAATTCTTTTTGAGGAAGTGACTGGTGTAAGTAAGTGTATTGTAGCTTAAGCAATGCAAATGGATTTCCAGAAGACAATTCAATAAGATGATTATGGCAGCAACTTGCATCTAGTTCCTTCAACATAGTGAAATATCCCAAGGTGCTTCATAGGAGTGCAATCACATATTTGACAAAGTCATGTGGAGAGATAGTAGAATAGATGACTAAAAGCTCAGTTAAAGAAGCAGGTTTTAAGGAGTATCTTAAAGGAGGAAAGAGAAAAGGGATTCCAGAAATTATGGTATGTGCAAGAGGGCAGAAGTGGAGGAGCATAGAGCCCTTGCTGGGTGGTTGGGCTAGGAGAGGTTACAGAGAAAGGAGGTCTGAGGCCAGGGAGGGATTTTAAAATGAGAATTTTAAAATCAAAGTGCTGCCAGACTGGAACACAGCCACAGTAGGTCAGTGAGCACAAGAGTAATAAGTGAGTAGAACTTGGTGTGAGTTAGGATAATAGTTTGGATTAGTTCAAGATTATGGAAGGTAGAAGATTGGAGGACAGATCAGTGAGTGCTGAAATGATCATGTCTAGAGGTAACAAAGGCATGCATGAGAGCTTCAGCAGGAGATGAGCCGAGGCAATGGTAGAGTTGGGTAGTGTTACAGAGGGCGGAACAAATGAACTTGGTGATGGGGTGGATATATATCAGAAGCTCAAATTGGGGTCAAATACAACACTTAGTTTTTGAACAGTCTAGTTCAGCCCTAGGGAGCTGCTGTGAAGAGGGATGGAGTCCTGACTAGAGAATGAAATCTGTGACAGGGAGAATGACAATGGCTTTGGTCTTCCCAATGTTTACATAACACCTTTCAATGCAGAAAAATGTCCCATTGTACAATCAAAAGTATTAACAAAAAAAAAATCCTGAGCCAAGGAAGGAGATCTTAGGAAGGGCAATCAAAAGCTTGGTCAAAGTGCTGGGTTTTAAAGAATGGTTTAAGGGAGGTTAAAAAGTTTGTGAAGGGAATTTGAAAGCAAAGGATCTAAACAACTAAAGGTATAACCACTAATGCTGGGGTGGACAAGAATGGTCTCAAGACAAGAGGCTAGAGTTAGAAGAATGGCAAGTTTAGGAATGCTTAAAGAGCCAGAGAAGACTGCAGCTTCCTAGTATAATACTCGTTATGTAGATTTGCTTTGTGTAAAACACAAAGCAACAATTTAGTGTTGGAGATAGTAAGAACTACAGATGCTGAAGTCAGAGATAACACAGTGTGGAGCTGGAGGAACACAGCAGGCCAGGCAGCATCAGAGCAGCAGGAAAGTTGATGTTTCGGTTCGGGACCCTTCTTCAGAAGAAGGGTTCCCACCCGAAACATCAACAATTTAATGTTGCTATCTGTGGTTGCCTAACTTCTAACATAGTCAAAAATTTTAAAAAGTGTGTCTGTAAAAGATTAAATTTATTCATCACTGTACTTGTAAGACACTAAAATACACTGCTAAGGTTCTAAATACATTTAATCTTATACAGACACAGTGCACAGCCTAACTAAAGTAGCTTACTAAGTGAGTGTAGAGTAACATTACAAGTCAAAAATGCTACAGATTTATTT